TCTTGAATGCTGACAAAAACTGAGGACTGATGGATGTGGGGGGGAGAAGGGATGGGCATGGAGGAGGGCACTTGTAGGGATGAGCACTGGGTGTTATGTGGAAACTAATTTGACAATAAACTATTTGTAAAAAAATAAAAAAAATAAATAAACATTAAAATTTTTTTTCACCTTTAAAAAAAAAAAAGAAAGAAAATATAATTTTCTTTCCTTTGTAAACCACATGGGCTATTTTTCTGGATGCCAAAGGACTTTTTCTTTAAAGTTCATTAATTTCAGTAAATTTTTTCTGATGTTGGTTGCTCTAGGTTGATAGTCTCAGGGACATGGTGTGATCTTTCAGATGGGTAGTTCCAAATGTTTTAAATGTGTTGTATTTAAGCAAAGTTCTCTTGCATTAATACTTGTTCTGTTTCTTTGCTTTGCTTTTTTTCTTCAGAGACTCCTATTTTCTGGATGTTTGATCTTTGGCTATCTTCAATATATGTCACTTTCCTTTGAATCCTTTTTATCTTTTTCTTCATTTCTTTTTGATTTAAACATTTTTTATTTCTTTTTACCTACTATTTCTCTTAAGGTATTATCTGTTGTGTTTATTTACTTTTTTATTTCTTCTAATTTACTATTCATTTCTGATATGAGTTTTTTCTTCATTTTAAATTACTTTCAGAGTTGTTTCTAATTGTGATTTATATTGTTCCTTTATGTCATCATTTTTTAAATGTTTTAACTTGTTTTATCATAGCATTTTATAGTTTTGACCTAGTTATGGCATGTCTTTCTGGCATGCTTTCACTGTCTATAGGGATATTATTCTGTTTGTTATCTCCCTTTTTTCTTACAATAACTCTCTATGGGATTTGACTTCTGTACTTTTCTGTTGTTGTTATTGTTTTTTGTAATGTAAAATTAGTTTTCCTCAACTTATAGAGGGAGGCAGTATTCAGAAAAGCTTTTTCAACTTCATAGGGCTCCCTCCTCTGTTGTTTTTGTACAGAAGTAAGCATGGTGGCTTGCTTATTTACCTTTCCTGACCTGCTTTCCTCCTCAGCTGACCTGGGACCTTATCTTTCCTTCATCACTATTATCTTTGTCCAGCTCAATTTTGATTCCACTCCAGGTAGCTACTCCTAAGTGCAGGAGCCTGACCTGAAAGGACACCCTGTTGGATTCATTTTGAGAGCTCTTGACTGCTCCAAGCCTTCAGTCCTTCTTACTGGGACCTTTCATTTACTCCCGGTAGAGAGGGCAATACCCCAACCCTCACTCCCACTCCAGTTTCAGAGAGGTTTATCAAATTAGCCCAACTACAAAAGTTCTCTTTTCAGGAAATACTATTGACTATTTAGGAGTTCTTCTGTTTTTATGTCCACCAGATACTACCCTAATTGCTTCCTTTCCCCCTTTCGTGGACACTGTGTTAATGGTGATTTGTCTCTACTCACTTGTCACTTGGGCTTTGTGAAAAAACTTGTCCCTAGTTTTGTTTTGAACATGTCCATGGATTTTTGGTTTTATTATCTAATTATTCTGCCTATTTTTATGTAGGGATTTAGAGAGATTGAAAGACTGCTGTTGATGTTACTGCTATCTTCCCAGAATGGAGAAGTGGTTCTTCACCTTCCCTGGCCTTGGCCTGAGAGCTCTGAAAAACTGCCCATATGCTCATCATTTGTATACAATTTCACATGACATTTCAAAGTGTTCCCAGATGCCTTGAACTGCATCCATGCTCCCCTAGAGGTCCTGAGCTAGGAAACTCTGGTCAGGAGCAATTAAGTATGGAGGATGAGGAAAGACTAGCTGATAAAGCGGTGTACTTTCTACACTCTTTGTATTGGAAGTTGGTTTTATCAGTGATATCTTTAAGATCTACCTATCGAATGTTAAGATAATTCTACTGGGCTCCTTGGTTCCAGACAGACAGTGCAGAGGCAGAAAAAGGGCAGTGGAGTTTGTGGAAAGTTTAAAGGAAAGACAACAGTGGCAGGATACCAAAGCAACCAACCTAAGTAGGGCAGGTAGACATCAGATAAACAAGGGGAATGTTGGAATCATGAGGCTGGAGATAAACCTGAGAGCTCATCTGATCCACTACCTTAGTTCTTAATAGAGAAGAAAGTCTAAACCTCGTGTTCCTCCAAGTGTGGTCACTTGACCATTTGCACTGGAATTTCCTGTTTTGCTTGTTAAAACACAGATTTCCAGGTCCTTGAACCTGACCTGCTTGGGTGGGAGTTCTAGTTATCTGCATTTTACCAATCCCCTAAACACCACTGGTCTAAGTGATGCAGAGAAGAATGGCAGCTGGTTTCATGAAGGACTCTGAGTGTGGGAGTGCCATATCTATGAATGCACGGTACAGTAATAATTATAATATTTATATCACCTTTACTCTTACTCTTATTGTTTTTCCTCCTACTATTGTGTCCTCAGGACTTTTCCCTTTGGACACAGGAGATCAACAGATTTACAGTAATTTTTGCTGCCTATCACATGCAGTTGAAAACCACTGAGCCATATGGAATGCTACATTTGGCTCTAGTTGTTTTGAAAGGAAACAGTTCTGGAGAAAAATGCTGCTGCTATTCACATGGAGTAGGTCTTGGCTTTTAGTGGCCTCTGGTTAAGGGAACTGCCACCCAGATCCAGACCCCCTCTGTCAGCTCACAGTGATTTGACAACAGACCTTTATGGGTCACTTCCCTGGCCATGTGTCAGAGAACTGGGCTTTGAGAAGTAATTCTGCTTCAGCATGCTAAGTCTTCACTCTGGTTTGGAGGGAAATTTCTACTTGATTCCTTCCTCCAGACTTGATTGGATATGGTCTCATGAATGTTGGAGCCTCAGCTGGATATTCCAGAATTCATATTTAAGACACAGGTGGGCAGCCCTGCCCTAGCCCCCTCGGGCTCATTCAGCACCCCAAGGGGCCAGGTCTTTCCCCTCCAGTGCAGAAGACTGCGTGTCTGAGGGGGACTGGTCTCAGTGTGAGCATGGAAAGGGATTCCTTGGGGATGCACAATTGTTCTCATCTTCTACCTCTGAGGAGACAGGAACAGTCCATTCTGTATCGGCAAGGGGAGCCTATGGGTCAGGACTCTCAGAGCATGAAGTTAAAGTAGAAACTACCTTCAATACTTTCATGGAAAGGGAGACAGCAGACACCAAACACAGATGACTGAGGTTCCTGCTGCTGTGACTGTTTCTCAATTGGGGCAAAAGTCTCCAACTCTTTATGTCTTGATTTTCTCATTCCTAAGGAGACACATGGTGCTATGTTAGGTATTCGTTGGGTAACTATTTAGAGATTGCAATTACCTTGTGTATTTGTTTCCCAGGACTGCCATAGCAAGTACCACAAGCCATGTGCCTTAAACAACAGAAATGTATTGTTTCACAGTTCTGGAGGCTGGAAGCCTGAGATCAAGGTATCGGCAGGCTTGGTGCTTTCTGAGGCTCTGTCCCACGCCTCTCTCCTAGCTTCTGGTTATGGCCAGCAATTCTTAGTGTTGCTTGGCGTGTAGATCCGTTACTCTCATCTCTGCTTTCATCTTAACATGTTGTTTTCCCTGTGACTTCACATGACTGAAGCTTTCTTATAAGCAAGTCAATGATACTGGACCCATCCCATTCCAGTCTGACTTCATCTTAATTAACTACATCTACAATGAACCCATTTCCAACTTAGGTTACATTTCAAGGTACTGGAGATTAGGACTTCAATATATCCTTTTTTTTCTTAGGAGTAAATAATTTAGCCCATAACTTCCTGCTTCTTCTGAAAAATCCCAAGTCTTCTGTTCATTTTTATTTTTTTTTCATAGTAGTTAAAAAAGACAGGCTGGGTGTGACTCATAGCTTTGCTACTTACTATCTGTGAGTGGGAAAATTTCCCAAGCTCTTGGAGCCTCATCTTTGTCATCCCTAAAATGAAAATAGCTTACAATAGTGACCTCACAGGGAAGAGGAATAAGCGAGATGAAAATAGATACAATTTTTAGCACAGTTTTGGGCACATACTATAAGCACTCAATAAATATTAGTTAAATTATTATTATTATTCTTTCACTGTGTCCCTTAAGGAATTTTGTGAGTATTAGAAATATATTTCAAGCATCCCCAGGTCAATTTACTCATGAAACGCCTACCACGTACCCTGCAGAGTTCATAATATTTCTTGTGTTGGCTTCTGGAGCCCTGAGACAGATATTGCAAAGTTTCTCTCAGAAGATTCCCTTTGATTCTTGGAGCAGTGGCCCTACACAGGGTGCCCAGGGAGGCACTGCTCATTGTTTCCTGACAGCAGGATTTCTGTGGAGCATTTACATTGTGAGGGTCCTAACAGAACCCTAAAAAGACAGAAATGACCTATGTCTGTAAGAATGAGGTGCGTGCTCAGAACGCGCTTGCTTTAAGTTCACCTCAGAGCAGCTCTTTCTCGTCATCACATTTGTTTCTCTGGGCCCTGATTGTCCTCGAGGCCATGCTAACTTTCCAATACTCTGAGGACACCTTCTCTGACCCTTTAGCAAACTCAGTAGAATGCATGCCTCGTGGCTCTGTGAGGAAGACAGAAATTTCTCTCTCTCTCTCCCTCCTTCTCCCATCCCTACCCCTGAAATGCTGGCTGCTGTAACCCACTGAGTTTGTTATATGTATGGGAATCAGGGTATGTGACATTAAGTTATTTTTGAGCTATAAAATGAAGCCCGTTCAGGAGACATTAGAAGCTTTATTTCCTTTGACTGAGGAGATACAAGAGGAGAGCTCTTTGTTGTTACAGGGTCACGTGTCATAAATAATCTCATTCTCCTCTCCAGGCACATTTTTCTCTCAGATGCAATCACTTTCAATTTTTTTTTTCCCTTTACCTCCAACTTCTACCTGGAAATATGTTTTACAATTGCTATTGAGTACATGCCCTAACATCTGCTCAATTGTATATATGTAACACTAAAAATACTTCTATGATGCATTTGGATCTATTCCTATTCCCTATCCTACCCTAGCTTACCCCATTCCATTCCACCTCTCTCCTATTATGGGTATACTAGATGTGGCTAGTGTGTACCAGTATCCAATCCTCCTCTTTTTTTCTGGTACCTAAAGTAGGTACATCAGCTTCTTTGAAGAGGGGAGGGGTATCTATATGACTAATTTCAGCCAATGTGTATGGTTCTGAGTTGCTAGTGTCACTTCCACAAGGACCTATAGGCTGAAGACCTCTATTTCAGTTAAGGCATAATTCTGTAGGGCCAGCATGCAACCTTGCCGACTTCTTCCCTGCTACCATGAACCAATGAGGCCTCAGGCTGAGAGAGTGGAGCTACAGATCAAAGCTGCCTGGATCACTGAGTTGCCACATAGAGGATGGTGGCCCAAGAGGGTCATCCATAACCTTCGCAGCCTTTACGTGAGAAAGAAATTAACTGCTTGATGGGTCACTGAGATTTGGGAAATGTTTGTTACCACGATATAGTCTATCCTGTTCTGACTAATACAGTGTTCTCTACCATTTCATTTGTTGTTTAGAAATGCTGGTCCCAACTTGTTATGGATAGCTTCCTATAGTTTGCAAATCATTTTCCCAAAGCATCTGCCACATTGATAACCCCAAAGTATAGACAGAGAGAGGACTCTCCATAGTGGAGGGAGAACATAGACCACCACTGTGTCTCCTCAGGGTCTTAACTTTCTGGAGTTGGTGAATTTCAGGAATAAGGACTAAGTGGTTGTGTGACTAGGATCCTAGAGAGTTAGGTTGCAGTTGCTTCGGTTGAGGGGGGCTGTGGGGCACCAGAGACTAGGTCGAAAGGTGGCTGAGTAGTGGACTTACCCTTTCTGTGCGATTTTGCCTTTTAGATGTACATAGCTCCAGATTCAGGCCTTATATATTCTTGACACTTGAACTTCATTGCCCTCTGTTGATCCCTCTCACCTACCTTTCCAACCATTTTCCCCACACTCTTTCACAAACCTTAACTCCTGAGAAATACAATTAGGCACTGGTTCCCATTTACATATCACTGTGTTTCTGGGCCTTTGCATATGCTGTTCTCTCCATTTGAACTTTTCATTTTAGCTGGCACTTGGAAATCTTAAATCGATTCTGACACAGCTCACTGTGTCATTCTGTCTCATTCTGTCATTGCCTCTGAAATCCCAGTGATCTTTTATTTATGACTTTCCTAGCATTTGCCATTCTCTCCCCTATGCTTATTATAGTTCTCCTCCAATCTCATCTTGAGCTAAGCTGCTTCTCTTTTAGTTTTTTTCATAAAAGTCCATTCAGATAAAAGGGTTCCTATGAACAATAACCACAGTACATACCCAAAAGTTAGAAAATCCACTGACTTAAAAACAAAACAACAAGGTTAATTTACTAAAGTTGACATGGAAGGCCTTGTAGGCTGCCACAGTTCCCACATCCCCCAAATACTTAACAGACTTTTATCTTTAATGTTCTATTTCCACTACCGAGGATATCCTTCCTTACTTTGTCTTTCAGGGAGACTTGTTTATTCTTTAAATCCTGTGGAATAGATTGCTAGTATTTGCCTAGCCAATATCCCATCTCCCATTCCTCCTTGTAACAGAAGGAGGTTCTATTTCCTCAGCAGATTGAATGGCCAATGAAATGGAAAGTTTGTTGGGTAGAATTTCTAGAGAAGCTCCTAAAAGATAGTATCAAATTTGCTCTTTTTCCCTTCTTGCTTGGAACTTAAATGAGCTGTCTGGAGTTCCAGCAGCCATATTGGGGCCATAAGGTACACTTGTGGGCAGAAGCTGCATTCTAAGGACTATAAAGGAGAAAGATAGAAGGACCAGAGAAATACTGATGACATCATGGAACTCTATTACCAGCTGTATACTGTCTAATGCTGGGCTTCTTTTACATGAGATGAAAACCTCTATTTTGATTAAGCTATGGTTATTTAGATTTTTTCCGGTATATGCAGCCAAACACAGTCCTAATGGACATGCAGCTCAATGCAAATAGCTCCTCTTTGTGTCTATCCCTGTATTCCAACTAGAGAATTTTTTCACTGGGGCTCCCACAGACCTTCACTCAAACCTCTCTGATTGATCATAACATATCAGGATTTTCTGACTATACATCTCCTCTCCTATTAGACTGTGACCTCTTTGAAGGCAGAACATTTTCTCATTACTTTTCTCATCTGCAGTGATTAATGCCCCATAAGCAGAAATGAGTCTTCTCAACTGATGTTTACTGAATGGAACTGAGACTTGAAAAGCATTTAGGGTTTTCTGTTAACATGTAAATTATTTTGGGAAAGATATTATCTGAAGCCTACACCTTATTTGGGATTTAGTTGGCGAGAAATCAAGTCA